TCTAACCTCAAATTTCTATGAAGGGAAGTTTGCATATAATGACTCCGTTTAAAATGACATATCGTTTATTATGATTGATTCTCAAGAAATCATATCCGACTATAGTGACCCAAATGATTAATAATAACATTTTCGCTCATTTTTCTGACCCTTCTTATGTATACTGATATTACAATTAATCGTTCTTTTTCTTATTATGTTAATAAATATATACAATTTGTAGTTTTTCTCTCTATTAAACTAAATAACTAACCAAAATAAAAAGTTGTTTATTTTCTAAGACTATGCTTTGTATGACGCCCGCTTAGTATGGCGTGTTTGTCATTTCCCTTATAATTATAAGCGGATTCTACTGTATATGTCCTTTATTTATGAGAATGAATGAAAATTCTAAGATTAATTTTAAATTTTTCAAGGTCATTTCCAATAATTATCAACATTTTTGTTATTTCAAAAATCTAAAACAGTACGCTTTGATATTATGCAACGTATGTGTATTTTGCATAATTATTTTTGCGCGAGTTCTTCAGGAACTTCTCCAGGAAGTTGTTCTTCGTGTACCAACAGAATTGGGTATTCTACAATAGTATGGTCAATAAAAATAATTAACCATTAATGAAAAACTCCCTAAAGGAAAACGGTAGTTGACCCACTCTAAAAAGTTAAATGAGAAAACGGTGAAATACAGAGGCGGTCTTTGGGGCTGGCGTGGTGCGGGCCTCGCTCTTGCTGGGGTCTCGCGCAGTCGCGCAACAATCCAGGTAGATAAATATTAGATTAATGTACGAATATTTATTTGAATTTCTTAAGAAAAACCGGAATCATCATTTCTAAATCCCTGATTCTTTTAAGACATTAACGCACCTTAGTTAATCATGATTAATAATTTTTTATTAATTTTTGTTAATTTCCAATAAACAATTTTAAAACTCCAAATTTATTTATTAATAAATTTTCATTTCTAGTCAAGGATTATCATTAAAAATAGATTCACAAAGACAAGGGCCTCGCAAGGATCTACCCACTCGGAGCCTCGCAGGAGCATCGAAATGACTAAGACCGCCCCTGGTGAAATATTTATTATAAACATTATTCTATAATCAGCTCACCTTTCTATATTAATTTTTTTTATTTCGCTTTTAAAAATGATTCTAAAATTTTCAAGTAATTAGGAGAACGGTTTAAAAGGTATATGAGAACTGAATAATTTGGAGACTTAACAGGATTTTTCAAATTAAAGTGAGAGAGAGAATTTGATATTTTTAAAAGAATTTTAAAAATCCTGAAATCTCATTTTTCTTTAATTTTTATCTTGGACTAGGTCAAACAAAAATTAAAAAAAAAGTAAATGGTTATTTATGTTTAAGATTTAGAAACTCTTAAAATTTAATCATTATAGATGCGTCTAATAAGTACATTCACCAAAAACAAACCAATTTTCATACAAAATCTAAAAAAAATTAATCAAGAAAAATGGGCCATGTTAATAGAGTCTACTGTTCAATAAAACAAGATAAAAATTAGGCCATAGTACTCCAACGTAACATTGCTCATTTATTAACCAGTTACCTTATTAAAATTTCGTCCCTAACGCCTAACACGATCTTTTTTCAAGTGATTCTATAAAGAATTTTTTTTAGAATTTCCCAAGAATATTTTTTTTTCAAAGTAACTACCTACGTCTGCTCTTAAAATTAAACAACACTAAAAATTACATAAAGTCCAACAACACCCGCGAAAAATAGATACTTTGAAGAAAATGGTACCATTCCCGATGCACCGTTGCAACGTGAAGTTGAGCAGGTGCAATATATTACGGTAACGTCATGAGTACCAGTTCTTCTTACACACCTGCCATCATAGTACGAGTTCTTTACATAACCGCACCCACGGATAACTGAAGTTTTACCCTGAACTGGAAAAAATCACAATTTCCATTTTCAAACTCATGAGAAAACATTTGTAAAATATGCAACGTTCAACACTCCAGTGACCACTGCGTCTCAAGAACTCAAAGAATAAAAACTGTTTTGGGATAGAGAATACTTTGTACTGTTGAGTGGAAATCTGGTCTGACAAAATCCATTCTAGTCTCACAATCGATTGCATTGTTGCAGTAATCAAGATTAAGAACCAAAATTGCTAATTCGTCTTGTTTGATTTTGGTTTTCGGACAAAACAAACAACAGACCACTAACTTCAGCGTTATTCTTTGTCGCTAAAATTAATTCTAGCCTCACAATCGATTGTGTTGTGGTGAGAATCAAGTTTAAATCCGAAAGTTGCCAACTTCCCTTCTTTTATTTTGGTTTTTGGACAAAACAAACAAGAGACTACTCACTTTCGAGGCATTTTTTGTCGCCAAAATCATTCTAAGTTCACAACTGATTGCCTTGTTAAAAGGATCAAGATTAAGTCCGAAAATTGCCTCACCATTGATTGTCTCGTTATAGGAATCAAGGTTAAGTTCGAAATTTGCCAATCTGGCTTGTTAGATTTTGGTGTTTGGACAAAACAAACAAGAGATCACTAACTTCCGAGACGTTTTTAGTCGCTAAAATCCATTTTGACCTCACGATTGATTGCCTTCTTGTAAGCATCAAGATTAAGTACGAAAATTGGCAATTTGGATGTTTTGATTTTGGTGTTTGGGAAAAACAAGCAAGAGACCTCTACCACACGAGCCGTTCTTTCTCGCTAAAATCGATTCTAGCCTCACAACTGATTGCCTTGTTATAAGAATCAAGATTATGTCAGAAAATTGTCTCACTATTGATTGTCTAGTTATAAGAATCAAAGTTAAGTTCGAAATTTGCCAATCTGGCTTGTTTGATTTTGATGTTTGGACAAAACAAACAAGAAACTACTCACTTCCGAGGCATTTTTTTGTCACCAAAATCCATTCTAGCCTCACAACTGATTGCCTTGTTATAAGGATCAAGATTATGTCAGAAAATTGTCTCAATATTGATTGTCTCGTTATAAGAATCAAGGTTAAGTTCGAAATTTGCCAATCTGGCTTGTTAGTTTTTGGTGTTTGGACAGAACAAACAAGAAACCACTGACATCCGAGGCGTTCTTTGTCGCTAAAATCCATTTTGGCCTCACGATTGATTGCCTCCTTGTAGGCATCAAGATTAAGTACGAAAATTGGCAATTTGGATTTTTTGATTTTGGTGTTTGGGCAAAACAAGCAAGAGACCGCTACCATACGAGGCGTTCTTTGTCGCTAAAATCCTTTCTAGCCTCACAACTAATTGCCTTGTTATAAGGATCAACATTATGTCAGAAAATTGTCTCACTATTGATTGTCTAGTTATAAGAATCAAAGTTAAATTCGAAATTTGCCAATCTGGCTTGTTTGGTTTTGGTGTTTGGACAAAACAAACAAGAGACCACTTACTTCCGAGGCGTTTTTAGTCGCTAAAATCTATTTTGGCCTCACGATTGATTGCCTTCTTGTAAGCATCAAGATTACGTACGAAAATTGGCAATTTGGATTTTTTGATTTTGGTGTTTGGGCAAAACAAGCAAGAGACCTTTACCACACGAGGCGTTCTTTGTCGCTAAAATCCATTCTAGCCTCACAACTGATTGGCTTGTTGAAAGAATCAAGATATTAAGTATCGAAAGTTGCCAATTTGACTAGTTTGATTTTAGTTTTTGGACATTTAAGATTAGCAAATTCGAGTTAACCGTCGAAAAATATATTGAAAATGATAACTCTCTTTTCTGTTTTCTCTTTATTAAGAATACCTTTTTAATTAGAAATAGGGAGTGTCACAGCGCATACTTTCAAATCCAATTGAAATAATAGGTATATAAAGTAGCTGTGAATGCATATATAAGATTAATACATGAGACCGGTGGAAAATCAATTTTCGGTAAGAAATGTCAAGGTATTGTGTCTTTTTTTGTAACATCATGATAAAATCATGATATTTAAAAGAATAATATGCAGAAAGAAGGAAAATCCGGGCTTATTTATTAGCTGCCGGTGCAAAATATTTTCCTAATCACATTTAGAAGCCATTCGCAAATTGAAATCAGTCAAGGATGTAACACAAAAACCTACATTACTTTCTCCACAAAATATTGTCCGTTTAATCTTTACAAGATTATTAATTAACAAATAACACTAAATTTGTGAAACTTCACTATTTTTCTTTACTTTTTAATAAAACCACAAATAAAATAAGTGAATATTGACAAATTTAATGTCATTTGTTAATTTAACCCTCAATGTGGAACTTCATCAAGTAACGACCAAATCAATTAACCATAATCACTTGAATGTGAGGATTTTCCTTAAGGAGTTTTACTACTTACTTGTTTGTATTGTTTTCCTACAAAAGGAAGGTTGATATCCCTGCAAATAATCTGGTGTTTTCTTCCATGAACAATTTATTGATCCTATTGTAAAATTATCGAACGGGTCACCACAAGCGGGATCGTAAAGTGAATTGCATTTATAACATTCCACTGATTTTTGTTCTCCTGAACCTGAAAAAATGGCAAATTAGTATAGAACAGGAAGATCTTGTTGAACATTATAATTCCACTTTCTAAGCAGAGGTGAGCAGAATTTTTGGGCTTCGTCCTTGAGATGTACTTGTTGTAATTTAATCCCTTTCATGAACAAGTGGTTGGAGCCTAGCAAACTAATTATTTTTTAAAAGTGCTTTGTAATTTTTGAGTCAAAGGGGATCCATACTCTTCGAAAGTTCTTGATAGTTGCTTTCAAAATAATTGGTAATTCGGTACCTTAGATTTTAAAATGTAATTGGGGACTCAAGACCTAAACTATTTTAAGTAAGAGCTTGGAACTCTTTTGGTTGCACCTTTGTCCAGCTCAACTCCTAAGTAATTCTGCAGGTATTGAAGGAACATCCAAAATTTTGCTGCCATTGTCACATAAAACCCAGTAGAATTCAAAAAGATAATCTATCAATAAAAATTCAATCGCAAAACCATTTTAATAAAAATATGACATTTTTAAGGTTCCGTACGTTAGAATGAAAAACGGAACTTTTAAGATCACTCGTGCATCTGTCTGTCTGTCTGACAGTCAATTTACTCCGAATCTACTGGACCAATTAAGATTAAATTTAGTACACTTATGAATTTCTATGACCCAAACACAGACGCATAACGTGAATAGATTAATTTTGAAAATGGGGATCATTTTTGGGGAACCAATAAAAAATTTAAAAAAAAGTTTAGCAAACTGTACCGTGTGACATATCAAATAAAAGGGTTTGTTGCAAGGGTCTCAATTATATATATTTTATAATTTTAAAATAAGTAGTTTTAATGTTATTTAAGGAAATAAATGAAAATTAACCATTCTCTCCCATATCTCCGAAACTACTGAACCTAAAATTTTGAATAAAATACAGAAAATAGTTTTTTACTTATAGATTACAGTAAAATTAATAAGAAGTCTTGGTCTCAATATAACGTGGTAAATCTTTCAACAAAACAATATTGAGCGTACCAATTTACATTTGTAATTTGAATGTATGGGAGAACATGTTTTTTTTTCAACAACAATGTTCAGTTGGTTTTCGGAATAAATTATGGATATTGTTGATACTACTTGTTCAACTTAAAAAAGATAATAATAATAATAATATGGTAATAAAAAACATGATAACAATATAATAACATATTCAATGTACGGAACCCTCTCCATGCGAGGCAACTCGCACTTTTCGCTTTTATGTAGTGATTAGCAAAGCTTGACATGTAGGTAGAAAATTCTTAATAATTAATTTATTCATTTTTCATTTCTAGTTGCCACAAAAAAAGTATAACTGAACGATTTTCAAAAATATTTATTGACTTGTATCATACGCTTTGATAAACTGACTTTTTCAAGGAACAGTATTTTATTACTATGATGTCCATTTTTCCCTTAACTTTTTTCAGATATTAAATCGGAGCCACGTTAAGGGATAAATAAATTATGGGTATTTAACCCCTATCGAGGCTCTAATTTAACATCTGTAATTTATCTTGTTTACTTGTCTGAACAAATCAATATTTAAAAGATACTTTGTGAAGTGAAATATTTATATCTAAATATTTTTTTTTATTTTAGCATCTCCTTTAACGGATCACGAATACTTCTCGTTAATTATAAAGGATTTTGTATGAATAAAAGGCTAATTTGAGTTACACTGCAGAAAAAAGAAAATAAATAATAGATACGTATACGCTGTTTGGTTTGCTATTATTTCTATTAGCTGAAAGATTCCGATGTTTATCAACATTTCTGCTTCTTATTAACCGACGAAAAAAAAGAGGAGGTTCTCAAGTCGACGCGTAATGTTTTTTTGTTTTTTTTTTATGTATGACCACGCATAACTTTTTACAGAGTAGTCCGATTTTGATAATTCATTTTTTATTGGAAAGGGTATACCCCGAAGTTGGTCCCATATAAATTTGGAAAACAAATTCCAACCCTAAGGGTAGGAAAACAGGGGATGATTGTTAATTGTTGTTCACTTACCAATTGTAATGTATAACCACGCATAATTTTTAACAGAATAGTCCGATTTTGATAATACTTTTTTTTATTAGAAAGGGTATACCCCGAAGTTGGTCCCATATAAATTTGGAAAACAAATTCCAACCCTAAGGGTAGGAAAACAGGGGATGATTGTTGATTGTTGTTCACTTATCAATTGTAATGTATAACCACGCACAATTTTTAACAGAATAGTCCGATTTTGATAATACTTTTTTTATTGGAAAAGGTATACCCCGAAGTTGGTCCAATATAAACTTGAAAAAGAAATCTAACCCTAAGGGTAGGAAAACAGGGGATGATTTACAGTAGGAAAATAATAGTAGAAGTAATTAATAGATTATAGACACAAAAAATTATGAAATATAAACTTTTTAACAAACTAATTTAATTAACTAACTAATAATTAAACCGCCATAAAACTGGAAAGCAGAAAATAATAAACCTTTATTTTATTAACCTTAATAACTAAGTTCTTCAACTAATGTAAAGATACCTAATAATCACAATGA